GCCTTGGTCACCCCTCCCTGCCTCGCCTACGCAGCATGCACTCCCGCCTCCTAGTTTCTGGGCTTCCCAGGTCTCTGCCTGCCCTCCCTCCCTCGCCTGCGCCGCCCTGCATTCCCTGCGTCGAGGGGCGGCAGCGCGCCGCTCCTCACTCCTCCTCGTTCCCTCCCACAGAGGCTCCACTGCAGACTCTCCACCTGGACGTGTGGGGCCTAGCCCGCGTCCGTGAACAGGGCCACGAGCGGTACTTCCTGCTGGTTGTCGACGACTACACGCGCTACACCACGGTCTTCCCCTTGCAGCGCAAGGGGGATGTCCCTGATGTTTTGATCCCCTGGATCCGCGCTACTCGTCTCCAGCTCCGCGAGCGGTTCCAGTCGGACTTTCCTGTCCTGCGTCTGCACTCTGACAGAGGTGGTGAGTTCTCCTCAGACCTCTTGGCAGCCTTCTGTGCGGAGCACGGCATCCGCCAGACTTTCACGCTTCCGGCCTCTCCTCAGCAGAATGGGGTTGCTGAGCGCCGCATTGGCTTAGTCATGGAGGTCGCTCGTACCTCCATGATCCATGCGGCTGCCCCCCATTTTCTGTGGCCGTTTGCGGTCCGGTACGCCGCGCATCAGCTCAACCTTTGGCCCCGTGTCTCCTTGCCGGAGACCTCGCCCACACTGCTGTGGACGGGGAAGGTTGGCGACGCGTCGCGTTTCCGGGTCTGGGGTGCTCGTGCCTTTGTCCGCGATACCACCGCGGACAAGCTCTCCCCTCGCGCCATTCCTTGCGTCTTCCTTGGCTTTGTCCCTGACGCGCCTGGCTGGCAGTTTTACGACCCCGCCTCGCGCCGTGTCTTTGCGTCTCAGGACGTCACCTTTGACGAGTCGGTCCCCTTTTACCGCCTCTTCCCCTACCGCACTGCTCCTCGCCCCCCCCCGCCGCTCTTTCTTGCCCCAGGTAATCCCCAGGTAGACCCCCTCCCCGCGCCAGGTCCTGCTCTTTCAGGTGTCTCTCAGTTAGACCCCCCTGCGCCTGCGCCTGTTGAGGTCACTGGTGACTCCGGTCCTGCTGCGAGTGGTGCTGTCCCTGGGGGTGCGGAGCTTGGGGGTGCTGAGCCTGGGGGCGCTGAGCGTGAGGAGCCTGGGGGTGCTGCGTCTGGAGGTGCTGCGTGTCGGGGTGCTGAGCCTGCGTGTGCGGAGCCTGGGGGTGCTGAGTCTGGGGGTGAGTCGCCTGAGGGTTCTGCGACTGCTTTTCCGCGGTCTCCTTGGAGTAGCCGTCTTCGTCCGCGTATGCCCCTCACCTCCCAGCAGCTGCACGACTGGTACGGTCGCCGTCAGCGTCGCGCTTCTGCACCTCAGGGCTCTACTGCTGGGGGTTCTTCTGCTGGTGTCGCTGGTCCCGGCGGTGCTCGTACTGAGGGTACTGGAGCTGCTGGGGCTGGCGGTGTTGTGACTGAGGGTACTGGCGCTGCAGAGGGTGCTGGAGCTGCTGGAGGTACTGGAGCTGCTGGAGGTGCTGGCGTTGCTGGAGCTGCTGAGGGTACTGGAGCTACTAGCGGTGCTGGAGCTGCTGAGGGTACTGGAGCTTCTGGAGGTGCTGGACTTGCTGAGGGTCCTGGAGCTACTGGCGGTGCTGGAGCTGCTGGAGGTGCTGGAGCTGCTGGAGGTGCTGGAGCTGCTAGAGGTGCTGGAGCTGCTGGTGCTGGTGGCACTACTCAGCAGCGCCTGTTCTTCGCTCCGCCGTCTCCGTCGTCTCAGCCACCACCTGACTATGCACTTCGTCAGGTTCTCAGTCTTCCCTCGTCTACTGGTCTTCCGTTACAGCCTGGCTCACCGCTGCCTGCTCCTTCTCCGTACACAGAGCAGACTAGGGGCCTTGCTGAGCGTCGTGAGCCTGCGTCGCGTCCTGTCTCACCTGTCCGTTCTGGTCGTTCCGGTCGTCGTGTTCCTCGTCAGCGGCAGCCGGCTGTCTCCGGCTCTCACCTTGTAGTTCGTCGTCCTTCCTCTCCTCTGCTGCGTGTTCCTCTGCCGTCTCCCCCTGTGTCCTCTCTGCCTGTCGTTGCTGACCCTGCGTCTGACCAGTTTCGTGCTGAGCACTCTACTGTCACGCGTCTGCTTGCCACTGTTGTCACTGACCCGTCGTTTGAGTCTGCTACTGCGTCTGCCTTAGTCGCTGAGCTTGTTGACTTTGCTGCTGCCTGTCGTCTCGACTACGCCGCCAGTCTTGTTGCTGAGTCTGCGTCTGTCTGTCCTCCGTCCGTCGGGGGTGAGTGTGCTCTTGGCACGGACGTCCTTGAGGACAGACAGGAGGACCTTGAGTGTCTTGCAGCCGCTGCGCCTCATCTCGTATCCATGCTGCTTGCCCCTGAGGGAGACCCGGATGCACCAGACATCCCTACCCCGCGCTCTTACGCTGAGGCGATCGCGGGTGAGTATTCCTCTCAGTGGCAGACAGCCATGGACGCAGAGATGGCATCCTGGAAGTCCACAGGCACCTACGTCGACGAGGTTCCCCCTCCTGGGGCGAACATTGTCAGTGGCATGTGGATTTTCAGGGTGAAGCGGCCGCCAGGTTCTCCGCCTGTCTTCAAGGCTCGGTACGTGGCTCGAGGCTTCAGTCAGCGAGAGGGAGTTGACTTCTTTCAGACCTTCTCCCCCACCCCGAAGATGACCACTCTTCGGGTGCTGCTGCACGTTGCCGCTCAGCGTGACTACGAGCTTCACTCTCTTGACTTCAGCACAGCCTTCTTACAGGGTAGCCTGCACGAGGAGATTTGGCTGCGCCGCCCTCCTGACTTCACTGGGTCGTTCCCTCCTGGTACCCAGTGGAGCCTCCGGCGGCCGGTCTACGGTCTCCGCCAGGCGCCACGTGAGTAGCACGACACACTGAGGACGACACTTGCGGCTCTTGGGTTTGCTCCGTCGACTGCTGACCCGTCGCTGTTTTTGCGCACCGACACTTCTCTGCCGCCGTTCTACGTTCTCGTGTACGTCGACTGCTGACACTGAGGCTCTCGCCCTGGTGAAGTCGGAGCTGCAGAAGAGACACACGTGCACAGACCTGGGTGAACTGCGCAGCTACCTTGGCTTGCAGATCACCCGGGACAGAGCACGCCGCACCATCACACTGACTCAGTCACACATGGTGCAGCAGGTCCTTCAGCGCTTCGGTTTCACCTGGTCCTCAGCACAGGCCACTCCTCTGGCTACAGGTGACTCGCTCTCAGCTCCACCTTCGGACGAGTCCGTAGAGCCGAGTGGTCCTTACCCAGAGTTAGTGGGCTGCCTCATGTACCTGATGACTTGCACTCGTCCTGACCTTGCGTACCCTCTTAGCCTTCTGGCTCGCTACGTGGCTCCTGGTCGGCACCGAAAGGTGCACATGGATGCTGCCAAGAGGGTACTACGCTACTTGTGCAGTACATCGGGCATGGGGCTCGTGCTTGGAGGACGGGGTGACGTTGTCCTCACAGGTCACTCGGACGCCTCTTGGGTTGACGACCAGGCTACGCAGCGGTCGTCACAGGGTTACACCTTCAGCCTTGGTTCTGGTTCAGTTTCCTGGCGTTCTACACGTTCGTCTTCAGTTCTCGGCTCCAGCTGTGAGGCAGAGATCTACGCCACAGCCATGGCTGTACAGGAGCTGCGCTGGCTCACCTACCTGCTGACCGACTTGGGAGAGAGGCCTCGTTCTCCTCCAGTTCTGTACGTCGACAACAAGGCCGCCATTGCCTTGTGTCAGGAGCACAGACTGGAGCACAGAACAAAGCACATCGCTCTCCGTTACTTTCTTGCTCGAGAGCTGCAGCAGCGTGGCCAGCTTCGTCTTACCTACGTGGCCACTCGGGCCAACACTGCTGATATATTCACCAAGGCGCTTCCGCCTGGTGATCATCAGCGTTTCTGCACTTTGTTAGGCCTTGTGCCCACTCTTCCTCACTTGCTGTAGGCCTTGTTTGTACCATGATTTATATGTATTCCTGCATGCTTGTTCTTGTAGGTATATATCACTGTACTGTTGTTGTTACATATATATTTCTGCACGTGAACTGGCCTTGTGGCCTTCTTGCTTGTGCTCAGACTGCGTGGTGACGTTGAGATCCACCCTGAGCTTGCTTTGCACTTCTTGACTGGTCTTGTGACCCTCTGTTCTCCCCCACTTTGCCTATGGGGGTGTGTCAAACATATGTGTATATTTGTTATAGTTTGGTTAGGCTTAGTGGGGTACTCACTGTGGGGTACAACCCCTTAGGTTTCTCCTTTGTATCTTTCCCTTTAGATAGTCGACACACCACTTTCCCGTAAGATTCTAACAAATAGAACTTTTCATATTTTTTTGTAATCATATAAAAGACTTTTATTTCCCTGCTATTAATCAACTTATCTTGTTCTCACACACTAGTACAAGGTGGTTCAGCAACTCTGATATTAAACGCTTCCGCAAATACAACATTCCTACTTCAAACGCCGATCTTGGGAGGGCCATTCTCAGCCCAACAGTTAAGGAGCGTTGACGGGGCCGTGAAGCGCGGAAGCGACTGAGTCTTCGCCAGTGTGGACGAGAACGAAATTAGAACTACAATTTCGGAAATGAAAACGTGGGTGGGGACGAATGTCTCCGCGTCCCTCTTTTGTAGGCAAAAGAGGGTGAGTAGCGCTTCTGCGCTACCGTACCTTTGCTAGTTGACCACGTACCCCTTTTCACAATACAAAAATTTAGAAAGTTCTTGGTTCATTACACCTTCAAAATTTATCATATCTTAAATAAAATTATCGTCAATGCAACAGACCAAGATATACACAAAATCTTATCACCATCCTGGCATTACAACGATTTACCACCGGACCCTCCACATAGCCACTGTTACGGTTCAATACAGCATAAACCTAAGTTGGCCACCGTTAGGAGCGATTGTACAGGTCAAATGATAGGTGCTACCCATATAAGCGATAGTGGTCTTACGGAAGGGCTGGATCGGCTGGTTGACAAAGCAACCGAGATGGACAGGGACACAGCTAACAACATGAGGACTGGACAGGCTTCTCCTCCTGAGGAGCGTTGATGTTGATGGTCTGGCCTTTCCCTGGACCAGCGTAGTTATCTTCATCAGGTGCCAACGCCTTCTTGTTCATCATCCAATAGATCTCGGTCAAAATCTGCGTGAAGGCGTCCTCGACGTTGGTGGCATCGAGGGCTGATGTCTCAATGAAGAAGAAGCCCTCCTTCTCTGCAGGGGAATGAGAAAGCTATCAGACGATGTCATAAGCAGCAAAGCGAAGAAGACCAGCTTTCAAACGTACCTGCGAAGGCCTGGCCCTTCTCCAAAGAGACCTTTCGCAAGTGCCGCAGATCACATTTGTTCCCGACCAAAGTGATAATGATGCTCTGGTCGCCATGATCGCGGAGCTCTTTCAGCCAACGCTCCACATTGTCAAAAGTCACTTGCCTCGTAATGTCGTACACCAAAAGAGCTCCAACCGCACCACGATAATACGCACTCGTAATGGCTCTGTAACGCTCTTGACCAGCCATATCCCAGATCTGGGCCTTCACGGTCTTGCCGTCAACCTGATAATGGGTGTCAATTAAGGAGGTAAGAATTGAGCGCATAGCACTTTTTCACAGCCAAATAGAAGCAGTACAAGTAAAGCACCTCAATGCTTCTTGTGGCGAACTCCACACCGATAGTCGACTTTGACTCCATGTTGAATTCATTTCTGGTGAACCGCGAAATCAGGTTAGACTTTCCGACGCCAGAGTCGCCGACCAGGACAACCTTGAAAAGGTAGTCATAGTCGTCATCAGCCTTGTTGCTCTTCATGGCGGCAAGATCTAGAAAGGCGGACCGAAAAAAGTCAAATTAGCGGAGCGAGAGTGCTGGGACCTTGGAAACCAGAAGAGGCTTGATGTGCTCTTGACGTCTTTCTGGAAGTCTGCAAGGTAGACACATCAACAACAGCACTGGTTGGTTGATGCAGCCAGGATCTGGGGAGAAAACACGCGACCAAACCAGATGGACAGTGGACAAAATTTCCCACATGCTCGTTACAATCACCCTTCGCTAAATCGGCAATCACAGAATCAGTGCACACTGTGTCGTAGTTGAGCTGTAGAAATCGCTATAACTAAAAGTGTATGACTATGTTGTTTCACAACCGAATTTGCATGAATGAAAGCATATTGATGGCCGAAAAAACAAGAGCGGTAAGTCTTTACCAGGCTCACGCATATACAGTTACGTTCAGTTTTCTAATACAGGTGCACCTTCTTTAAGCGTTCTCAAAACGGCAGTTCCTGCAGCTGCCTAGGTGAGCAGGGTGGGAGCTAAATGAGCTGGCTGGCTCGCACCCAAACTAGTAAAAACGATAAGAATTTGGAAGAACCTCTCCGTCAAACAGTTCTGATCACACTGATAGAAACTGTTGGCGATGTAAAAAAAAGCCATTGCAGCCACCAGAATGATAAGGAGCGAAGTCACGCAGATTCATTGAGCATCCGTTACAGCCTTTGTTGTACTGATGTAAAGAACTGCATGAAGGAAACAGACAAACGAAATGGAAGCCAATATATGATGAGCAAGACCACAAAAACCTAGCAGCTGCAAGTCATGGCAGCTGAAAATTATGTTGGCCAAACTTGCGAAGATTGACTCCTGGTCTACGTTCACACGTGAACATGGCAGAAAAGGAAAAGCCGGCAGGCTCACCGTTATTTCCTCGGATGAAGGCGTCGCCATACTTGTTCTTCAACTGTCCATTCACATACTCCTCCGTCTGCTCCATGGCAATGTTCATGTAGCCATCCAAACATGCAAGTATTCCTGCAAGGAGTGAGTGGGATAAAGGAGAGGATGGATGCGATGGACAAGTGGTTAGACTCTTGAAAGAATCCAAACCAAACACACCCGTTGGGAACGAATCCATACAAGAAATACGCTGGGTGTGCCAACAAGCGATCACAGCGGGAGGGGATGAGAATGGGGAAAAACGGTATAGCGAGGGGATCGCAAACGCCTATACCCTTGACGACGAGAGGCAGAGTTGCAAGAAACGCAATTATTGTCGCCAAGTAAGTGACCAACCGATACATGCTATTATACGATACTTGCATACCCAAGACCCCAGCATGGTGTCAGGCGGACAGTCATATGCTTCCCCACCTCGATAATCGACGCCAGAGTTCAGTTTCACGACGACTGGTCGACCGCGAATGGCTTTCAGAAAGTCAGTTGGTGTCTTCGCTGTGGTGCTCATCTTGCGAACTAGAAATGAAGCTGGAATGGAAAGCTAACCCTGATTCCTGGACCATAAGGGTCGAGCAAATTGAAGGTTCACAGGAGCAGGGAGGGAGGGTGACTGATCTTGCATCAAATCAATTCGGTGTCGACTGCATGTAGCAAATGGGCACTCAGTGAAATACAACTTATAATAGAACTGAGGTACCGGTAGCTCATATGACATTTGTAGGGTGTAACTTGATGTGTACACAGCTGTTCACAAAATGGGCAGTAATCAGTTAAGAACTATGAAAAAAAAAACCAGGCTTAAAATTACTAACCATACAGGCCCCCAGAAGTCAGAGAAATTTCTCTGATTTGCCTAAAAAACTCTGATATTTCAGCCTTTTTTCGAAGTGAACTCTGAAAATTCAGCTTTTTTTTTTAGAAAAAACAGGAAAAATGCATTTTTTTCTAGTGTGCAGTGGTATTTCTGCAGGAAAAACTCTGGTTTTCAGAGTTAAGTCATGTACCAACTCTGATTTTTCAGACTAGCCCAAAACCAATCTGAGCCCTAAACCATATCAGACAAAATAACGATTTTTAGCACATGCTTAATATAAGAATCTCTTATCGTACATCAATCATACAACTGTTTCACTCTCTTCCTTTAAACAATGTGGGTTTCGAAATTTATAACATAATATGAAGCCATCATTATCCGTTTAAATTGCGTTCCAGCGTAGATTTTTCTAATATATTTTCAAGTATTTCTGCTTTATGGAGATCATACATATGTTCTGAGTTTCGGTCCATATTAATTTTTATTATAGAAACGAGCGCTGTTGTAGCGAGTTGATGCCAACTGGGAGGGTGGTAATGATGTGGATTGAGGGAATGACAAACCGTTTTTTAGGGGTTGAAGGGCTTCTTCCGGCTTTGAAATGGACTGTCCAACTCCAATAATTGTTCTTCTCCAACCCTGACGGACAGACGATTTTTGGAAGAGGACTTCAGTTCCGGAGGCATTTCCCTAAAACTGACCTCGGAGATGCGGCACACAATGAAGGCTGCTTTGATTTGTTTGTGTACATTGTTATCCGGGCAGCCAGATTCTGGTGTTCGACCAATGACCATCCCTGATCGCGTTTGGCCATCGCGTTGGCGCCAGTAGAAAAAAGCCAAACCGATTTCGAACATCAGGTCCTTTTCAGTCTCTGTGGGGTGGGGGGCATCCGCGTTCACTTCAGGGTCAGCGTTGGGTCGTTGTGCAGTCACAAAACTCAGCAGTGAAAGGGTTGTACGGCCATGTTTTCAGATCTGTGACATTCTGGACCGTTGGATACGTGGCCCCGAACCAAAAGGCAGCAGCAGTGTGGTGGAGCTGCGGTTTCCTATTCCTAGCCATCACGGATGCAATTGTCTCCACAACTGCCCAAAGCGGGCACCAGGAAGTTCAGCGGCACAGTTCCTCCGCAGGCATTCAGTGAGCAGACAGAACAGCGCAGAAGAAATCCAGTGAAATTACATGTCTTCCACAAGGAGTGCATTCAGGAGTCAATTTCCTCGGTGTGTCCGCCTTCCCTACTCCGACCAAGCCACGCAGCACATCAAGGACCTGTTTTTTCGCGAATAATCGCTTGCCTGTTGCCGACTGCTAGCTATTTCACGTACAGCTTAGGTTCGACTAAACCACCGCAATTACTTCTCAGCAAATTTCCGTAGGTCCGGACCACTAACTCGCACATTCAAGATGCAGCCGTTTGGGATTGACATGGGGCCGGATTCTTCCTCTGGAATAGAGGCCCCGAAATCAGATGGACTATCGCCAGAGAGGGATGTCGCTCCAATCTTGAAAACCGAGCCTCACTTCCAGCGGTCTAGAAGCATGGCAGCAGGGCACCATGGATTCAAAGGCGCGACGGTCATGAGCGGCGTGTTTAACCTGTCAACGTCAATAATTGGAGCGGGAATTATGGGATTACCAGCTACAATGAAAGTACTGGGCCTACCGCTTGGAGTTCTAGTCTTAATAGCCATGGGGATCCTAACCGAGATCTCTGTCGAGATTTTGATCCGAACGACGACGGTTCAGCACGTCTGGTCTTACAGTGATTTAGTGCATCAGACTCATGGCAACAATTGGCGACTCGTGCTCGACATCTCCATTGTCATCGTTAACTTCGGCGTTTGCATCGTCTACCTTATCATTTGCGGTAAGGAGTTTCTTGGGGGCCGCATGCGGCTCGCGTTAGTACGGAACTTCCGTTCTTTCGTTTCGATCTCCCAATCTCCCTCGCCGAATCTTTGCACACATCTCTTTGTCATGCCTGTTACACCTAATTCAAGTCGCTTGTTTCCCTCGCTTGGCTCACTCTCTGTTGCTCCGCCCAAAGCTCATCGTTTTCACCACGCATTCGCCCCGCTGCTCTTTTCGTGTAACAGCCGATGTGCTGTCCGGCACGACGCCAGGGGGCGAGTATCACGAGGGAATGTTCATGACGTGGAATGGCGGTGAATCCGCGTGGTGGACTGGAAGACACTTCGTTCTCTTGATAATCATCATTGTCTTCTTGCTCCCGCTTCTCTCTTTCAGACACGTTGGTAAGACCTCTGCGCTCTGCGTTCATTTTCTGTTCAGCTTTGATTACCTTCGTGTGCCTGATTTCGTTGATAAAAAAACTCGCACATCGAGAATTGTAGTAGAACTATTCTTACCTAAATCCTCATGCTCATGTAGTATCCTCCATCTACTTTCCAAATCTATTTCGCCCCAACGACTTTTGTTCGCGTCAGACACTTTGCAGTACACATCATTTCTCGCCGTGCTCCTAGCGGTCGTGTTCGTCATGATCACAGTCGTTATTGCGGCAATCAACATCAACAATGGCACACTACCTGTGCCCAGCTTTTTGCCAGACTTCAGCTCAGCTAACGCAATCATGGCCATGTTTAGCGTCATCCCGGTATGTGTGGAGGGAAATATTAGGGAAAAGAACGAGCAAAGTGCGTGGGTGCTGTGCTTGGAGAAGGAAGGTGGAGCAGAAAAAAATCATAGAAGCGCTTTCACTGTCAGTCAAGTCGTATTTTCCATACTGTCAACCTTGCTCCTTGTTTCTACTTGTCTACTTTGTGAAGTCTGACAGAATTTCTGTATTTTGTATTTCTTTTGTTTGCAGATCATGGCTACAGCCTATGTTTGTCACTTCAATGGTATGCTTGTTTAAGTTACACCTGCATGACCTTCTCTTTCTCCGTGCTATAGCTTATTGTGTCCGCAGCTCTATTTTTTTCTGTCCTCCCAAGTTCTTAGCTCACCCTTGGCACTCGCCTACTCCTGTGAATCCTGTTTCCTCCTGGTCTTGAACAGTTCATCCTATCTATGTGGAGCTGCAAGAACGCAACGAGAAGACCATGCTCAAGGTTACTCGTTACTCCATGACCCTCTGCACCATTGTCTACCTCCTCACATCCATCTCGGGGTACCTCCTCTTTGGTGCAAGCACCGCCAATGACGTGCTTGTCAATTTCGACAGAGACCTTGGGATTGAGAACAGCGACGTCGTGAACGACATTGTGCGGATCACCTACATTTTTCACCTGATCTTCGTCTTCCCTGTCATCTTCTACTCGCTGAGGAACATTGTGGATGATCTTTTTTTCCCCAATGCTACCACGCCTCTGGTGGACGATAGTAAGAGATTCTGGCTGTCCACAGCGGCAGAGCTGGTGCTGATTTACATTGGCGCCACTGTCATACCCAACATGACACTGGCGTTCAACATCACAGGCGCAACAACTACCATGATTGTTGGCATGCTCATCCCAGCTATGCTCGCTCTAAGGTCAGAACCAGATTTAGCATTTTTTTGCTGGTCATGTCAGCTGGATGTGCTTGCTTATCCCTTGCCGCTGCCTTCTGAGATCGTCTGGTTGTCGTTCATGGTTCTATCTTGCAGTGACAAGTCTGGTGTCATCGTTGACTGGGAGCGCAAGCTTGCTTATTTCATGATTGCCTTTTCCATCCTTGTCAGCATCACGGGACTCAGTAGCAGCATCTACTACATCGTTGTCCACTATTAATAAAACTACACTGTCTGCTTCTTGCACATGGTGGTTTGCTGACTCCAGATTTGACACGGAAGTAAATAGAAAGAATAGGAAGGTTCATGTTTGTGGTCATCATTTTATTCTGAAGTGTACATAAATTGAAGGGAGAGAATACAAGAATACTGATACCGGTACTTTGTTGGAATGTGTTACCGTACGAGTGCAATTTGAGCGAGCGAGCGAGAAGTGCACTATCGAAGCAAACAATACAGCGAGCAAAGGTATGCGCGAAGAATATGTAGCGAACTAGAGTGGTAACGGTAACGTGAGGAAATTGGGGTGCGCTACGGGCCTAGCGCCGATGTTGGGATATGTCGAGGCGGAGGTCCGGAGCGCGGGTTACCAACCGAACCGTGAGGTTGGGTCGCGTCGTGAACAGTGGCGGGAGTCGTAGTCGAGGCGAGTGTCGCGAGCGGGTAATGTTTCACTGTTTGGGTGCCGATGGCGGGAATGGTCTTGTATGCGGTAAGCAGGGGCGCGAAGTAAGGAAAATGATTTTTCCTTACAAAAAGGATATTGTACCCAGCTTCAGGTAGTAGCACATTCCCTTCAGTCTGTTGGGCTGAGAAAAGCCCTTAGGATCTTTGCAGGACTAAATTCAAGGGTAGGACAATGTAATAGCGGAAGCGTTAAATAAAAGGCTTGTGAACCACCTTGCGCTAGTATGTGAGGGCAAAGTTGATTGATTAATAGCAAAGAGATACAAGCTTTTATAAGAATACAAGGGAATATGAAGGGTTATGACTAATAACCGTTTTACCATTGCTGTTGCGGTTCGATACAGTGACGACTCGGGCAACTGCTCAATAGCGAGTCAGTTGTTTGTCTTTGCTGTCGCGCTGTACTTGTCAGGTCAAAGGTCGCTGACCTTTGACTTTCGCGTAACCTCCAGCAGTTGTTCATGTCAGAATCCCAACCACTAGACCATTGGGATAAAAGGGCTTGTTAAGTAGCGGGTCAGAGTGCGCCCATAACCCCCCAGGCAAACGCGCCTGTAACGCCCCGTAGGATCAATCGGGCATTCACAGTGCAGATCTACCGACACCCCCCCACACTGGGAGGCCCAGGACTGAGCACAACTGCAACGGCCTACATGTGCATACACCGAGATTCGAACCCGAGACCACTCTGACACCATGTCAAAATCCCAGTCACTAGACCACTGGGATAAAGGGCTTGTTAAATAGCGGGTCAGTGCGCCTATAACCCCCCAGGACAACGAGCCTGTAACCCTTCCCTGAATGTTATGTTTGTCTAGCCTGTAGTGGGGTACTCAATAGCGAGTACAGCCCAATTAGGATTTGCTATATGTACTCAACTGCTTGCTAGTGAACCCCCTCTTTCCCTCTTTCTCATTTCTAACTTCCTTTGGTTTCTTAACATGGAATCAGAGCAGGTCGACCCTCCTGGGTCGATCCTGTGCATGGGCCCACCATTGTCTTCCGCTGCTATACTGCCTATCGCGCGCCTCGGGCGCGCACTGTCTTTCTGTCTGCCGCGCGCCCATGGCGCGCGGCCCTTTTTCTTCCCGCCGCGCGCTCGAGTCGCGCGGCGGTTTTCTGCTCGTCGCGCCGCCCTGGGGGCAGCGCGACGCCCTGATTTGCCCGTCGCGCGCCTCAGGGCGCACGGCGGTTTCGTCGCCCGGGGGGGCTCGTGCGCGCCCCCCCCTTCGTCGCCCGTCGCGGCGCCAACGGGGGCCCGCGCGGCCCCCCCCTTCGTCGCCCGTCGCGGCGCCAACGGGGGCCCGCGCGGCCCCAATTCCCGTCGCCTGTCGAGGCGACCCTGGGGGGGGGGCCACGCGTCGGCCCCTCCCGTCTTCGTCGCGGCCCTGCCCGGCCCTGCTTTGCCCGGCCCTGCCGTCCGTCCCCGATCCTGCCCCGGCCCTGTACCGGCCCTGCCCCCCCACCCCCCCCCCCCCTCCCCCGTAACCTCCCTACCCGCCATCTCCGGCCCTGCCCTGTGTTAGGGTTTGGGGGTGGCGAGTGGGGGGTGGCGGGTGTGTGGCATCACCTGCTCCTCCTCCTCCTTCGTCTCCCACTGCTGCGGCTGCCGCTGAGGGGGGTGGGTGTGTGAGAGTCGACGGAGTGGTGCTAGGGGGTGGAGTGTGAGTGAACCTAGGGGTGCAGCAGGGGGTGTGTGAAAGGGGGGTGCGACAGTGGGGGAGGTTGAAGGGAGGCAGTCGTCGTGTCGCCAGCAGCGCCAGTAGTCCGGAGGCTACAATCTCCGGTAGCCCAGCGAGCCTGCTGCGCCAGTCGCCCGTGGGTCCGTTGCTCCTGCAGCTTAGAGTTAGTCGCGGAGCCAGTTACTCCAGTAGTCCGGAGGCTACAATCTCCGGTAGCCACAGTGCGCGCCGCTCCTGTTGCCCGTGTGTCTGCACCTTCCGCCGTTGCCTCCTCTCTCCTTTCCTATTAGTCCAGCCACCTCCTCCTCACTTGCCCTCTGTGATAGCCTCTAGCTTTACTTATTGGTGTGAACTATAAACTGCTACTTCTTGTACTTGTGCTCAGAATGTGTGGTGACGTCGTGATCCACCCTGAGCTTGTTTTGTTTTGCTTGTTGTGCTGATTACACCCCACTTTGGCTATGGGGGTGTGTCAGAATGTTATGTTTGTCTAGCCTGCAGTGGGGTACTCAATAGCGAGTACAGCCCAATTAGGGTTTGCTATATGTACTCAACTGCTTGCTAGTGAACCCCCTCTTTCCCTCTTTCTCATTTCTAACTTCCTTTGGTTTCTTAACAACCCTTCCCTAGGATCAATCGGGGATCACCAGTGGACCTCTGACACCCCCCCGCACTGGGATGCCCGAAGTGCACACACTAGGATTCGAACCCGAGACCGCTCTGATACCATGTCAGAATCCCAACCACTAGAGAATTGGGATAAAAGGGCTTGTTAAGTAGCGGATCAAAGTGCGCCCATAACCCCCCAGGCAAACGCGCCTGTAACCCCCCGTAGGATCAATCGGGCATCCACAGTGCAGATCTACTAACAGTTCAACCTCCGAGGGTTGACTCGCTGATGCTTCGATATGTTCTACTTCGCTTCTGACTTGGTGTTTCGACACGACAGAGGCGCTTAAATCAATTGTTTCCAACACTCCCTTTCGCTTCTGGAGTGTCGTTGCTGGTGACGTGGCTCTGTCCAGTCAGCAACATGCAGTACTCAAACTTCTGTTTTCCGAGTTTCTTGGTCAAGTAATCAGCTGCCATCTCGGACGTGGGACAGTAAGATAGCTCAAGTCTCCCCTTCTCGATCTCGTCCTTCACGAAGAAATATCGCAAGGCGATATGCTTCGTCCTGTTCGCGAATCCGTTTTTGTTGGCTATCCGAATTGCCGACTGGTTGTCGCAGAACAGGGAGAAGCTGGGTAACTGAGCCAGCTTCGCCTCCTCCAGGAGTTCGCGAAGATACAATCCTTCCTTGGTGGCTGAGCAGAGTGCGATATATTCTGCTTCGGCTGAGGAGAGAGCGATTAATTCCTGCTTACTCGACTGCCACGAGATAGGTCCGATAGGCTCGAGGCGGTAGATGTAGCCTGTGCGCAAGTGCCTGTTGTTAGAATCTCCGGCGTGGTCGGCGTCGACGTAGCCGATTAGCTTGGGCGTTGTAGTTCTGTTCTTGTAGTAGGTCAGGCCGATCGTTGGATTGCTAACGAGGTAGTGAAGAGCGCGGTCGAGTTCCGTCATGTGTTCAACTTCAGGCCTTTTGAGGTAGGTGGCGAGTTGACTTGCGGAGTATGATAGGTCTGGTCGGCAGGTGACAGCTGCGAAGAGTAGGCAGCCTAGCTTCCTTTGGTAGTCGCAGACGCCAGTAGGTTTGAGTAGGGCGGAAGTCTTTCGATTTCCGTCGGTGTAGCGGTATGGCGTGGAGATGGTGGTTGGGGAGAGTGCGAAGCGTTTGGCGATGGTGTCGGCATATTTTGCGGCGTTGAGGTAGATCGCGCTTTCTCCTTCCTGGATGTTGAGGCCGAGGTACTGCGTGATGGTAGATGAGACTGTGAGCGTGAGGTCTTTCTGAAACTCCCCTTCGAACCAGGTAGTGATGTTGTCGGTCGACCCGATGTAGAGTAGATCGTCTACGTAGACGATTAGTAGAATATAGTCGTCGCCTTTCGTGAGCCGGTACATGCCTTGGTCGTGCGGTAGCTGCCGGAATCCGATGCGAGTAAGTCGAGCATGTAGGTACTGCTGCCACAGTCTTGGGGCCTGTTTGATGCCGTACAATGACTTCAGCAGCTGACAGACTTTGTTAGGTTCTCCGTGGGAACCGTGTGGGAGTTCGACGAAGATTTCTGCGTCAACACGTGCGTAGAGAAATGCGTTGGCGACGTCGATTTGCCGCAGTTTCTTTTTCTTCATGGCGGCGATCGCAAGGAGAATTCGTAGTGAGGTGTGTCGGCTGACCGGGGCGAATGTCTCGGTGAAGTCGCGTCCGTGCTCTTGGTCGAAGCCGCGTACGACCCAGCGTGCCTTAAACTTGTCAATGGTGCCGTCTGCCTTTGTCTTCACACGGAAGACCCACTTCCCGGTGAGTACTGTGAGAGAATTGACGAAAGAATGATTGAACTAGAAAGCAGAAGGGTACAAGTAGGAAACACAAAAGTGTTGTACCCTCTAAGGACTACCCCACTACAGCCTAAACAGACTATAGTAGATATAAGTTTGACACACCCCCATAGGCAAAGTGGGGGAGAACAAGGGGTCACAAGACCAGTCAAGAAAGACAAAGCAAGCTCAGGGTGGATCACAAAGTCACCACACAGTCTGAGCACAAGCAAAGGGCCATAAGGCCAGTTCACATGTAGAGTTATATAAAGGAAAGCAAACAATACAGTGAACACAACCTAGCAAGTGTAAGCATGCAGGTATAAGTATATAGAGTACAGTACAAGCAGAGTCAAGAAGTCAACAAGTGAGGCACAGTAGGTACAAGGCCTAACACAGTACAGAAACGCTGATGATCACAAGGCTG